TGGCATGCCACATGGAGGTTCCTGGCATGCCACATGGAGGTTCCAGGCATGCCACATGGAGGTTCCAGGCATGCCACATGGAGGTTCCAGGCATGCCACATGGAGGTCCCTGGCATGCCACATGGAGGTTCCTGGCATGCCACAGGAGGTTCTTACCCCGGCCGGGGCATGAACGCCTCGCTGCCCTCAAGATCAACGACTCTAGCCACAGCCTCACCTGGCGAACATTTTTTATCAATTCTTGTTCGTTTTTTGCATTTATTTTCGTGCGTCCTGATGTAGACAGGTTTTTACACCTCGCTTGTCGCTCGGAAGTCCCGATGCTCCGAAAAATTGTTGACGTGCCTAACAACGAACGAGTAATTTCTTACGGGACGATACTTTTGACAGATTGCTCGTTCAAGACGATATCTTCGAAGGATCGATCTTGGAAGGCGATACATTTGAAGGAGTTGTCTTTGATGATCATTAAACTTTTTTTATTTTTTGTTGTTGGTGCAGAAAATCGAAAAGGAACTGAAAAATTTTCTGACTATAATTATTGTTCAATTAATCATAGCTTTTTTAGAGAGGTCTCGGTGAAGGGGTTTTTTGTCTTCTGGGTGAGGGCAAAGGGATAAACAATTTTTTCTTTGAAAAGAAATTATTGTCGCGGAAGGTGTGAAATATATATCTATTCTATACCATTACTTTCTGGAAAATAGGCAAGAACAACACAAATTTCGTTCATCTCAGGTTCAGAAAAAAATAAACTTGAGTCTTGAAATAGCGCTTGTTTTTCGTTCGTCGGATTCGAATATTTGGCGGCCACTCGAAGTCTCGCTACTCAGCTCAGTTTGCGTGCGTGCATGATTGACAAGCGCTTTACTCCTACTCTCGTTCAAAATTGGCATGAAACAATGACCATCTAAAGGAATTTAAAAGCAAAGAAAACACCAAGCAAATTCATCGTATCGATATCGATATGATGAATTTGCTTGGTGTTTTCTTTGCTTTTAAATTCCTTATGAACTTGTGATATAAGTAGAGTGATAATATAAGTACTTAATGACCACCTAACGTTATTGTTGGGAGCAATAATAAAAATTAACTATGGAAAAGTAGGAGCATGTTTTTATTTCACAAAAATTAATTTTCTTCCTGTTACATTGAAATTATACCTGACACCATTGAAAAGCGTCCTCAATGTTATAAAGTCAGTACGTGCTACTAAATTCCGCAAATCAGGTCATTCAGTTGAGGTTTAGTCTCACCCTATTTCCATCGCACAAAATTTTGCACGATTTCAGGTCGAGTTCGCTTTATTTTTCGATTGTCTTCATGACGGATTGCAGTGTGAGGAAAACAATCAGCCGTTCTCTTAACCACCGACGATGACTTTCAAATCTTCGCTTGGCATTTTTCTCAAGAGGCAACAAAGCTCGACTTCGACACCGTTAGATCAGCCCTACATGTACGTCTGCCTCTCCCTTTCGCTCCTGTGGCCTCTCGGAAATTTCAGACGTCTTTTGTGTGGTCATTGAATGTTCGTAAATAGGCCAGCACTGATAAGAATTTGATTTTTAACGAGGTCATGACGATGAATAACGAAGAGTTGAACGCCTCCTCATTAAGTAACTTCATTACGAGAAAATCAACACAGTTGCGAGGCGCTAAACAGTCGATTTCACGTAAAGAGAAAAATCTATTCAATAACCGACAAACAATGGCGCCAATTTTACGGCTCCAGCTCCTAAACGTGACATGTTAACGTCGTAAACTATTGCAATTGAATTTTAGTTTACGCTTTTCTCATTTTTAGTATAACCATTAAAAATTTCAATTGCCCTTTGATATTATTTGTTAATTTTGATTTTGTGTCAATGTTGCATCACATGAAACATCTGCAGAAATGCTGGCTTACCGTCGGAGACCGCCGGCTTCGCGTCGGAAACTTTTTGGGGCACTTTTAGTGTCCATTTTTTTCACTTTTGTTTCCTGAATGCATCCCGTTAGGCAATGCACTAGTTGCCTCAATATCGGTTGGCGAGAACCTGCAATCAACGTTGACAGGAACCAGCCGCCGTACGGCTCAGGTGGCTGAGGAGCGCATGCCCGATGCATCGACAGGGACCTGCTCTCTGAACGGCTGCCGGGACCTGCCGCCGTACGGCTTAGGTGGCTGAGGAGCGCATGGCCCGATGCATAGACGGGGACCTGCTCTCTGAATGGCTGCCGGGACCTGCCGCCGTGCGGCTTAGGTGGCTGAGGAGCGCATGGCCCGATGCATAGACGGGGACCTGCTCTCTGAATGGCTGCCAGGACCTGCCGCCCGTACAGCTCGAGTGGCTGAGGAGTGCGGGTCCGATGCATAGACAGAGACCTGCTCTCTAAATGGCTGCCGGGACCTGCCGCCGTACGGCTCAGGTGGCTGAGGAGCGCATGGCCCGATGCATAGACAGGGACCTGCTCTCTGACCAGGACCTGCCGCCGTACGGTGCCCGATGCGTTGGTTCCCTTGCGCTGCGGTCTCACCGGTGCACCGAGTTTGCTTACAGCCCCGTTACGCGCACTGCGCGCAGCTCGGCCGTTCCAGCGCATGCGCTTAACGGTGCTGGCACCGCGGTGGATGCGGCGAGTGTTTGTATACTTTGTGTAGAATGCAGTGTGTGTTGGTATTTATACAAGAAAAAATGACAATATATTCAAATTCGTGGACATGAAAAGGACCGAGTTAACTTATTTATACTCCTTGCTTCATTTCAAGACTTGAAACCGTTTAGTGAAATAAATCAGCGTTACCCAACGTATAGATTTATAAAATCGTATTGATATTATCGCGATTCCTACTTGGACCAAGGACCAAGTAGGACCAAGTGATTATTATAGTCATTACAGCAGATATAGCTAATAACATAACGTAGTCTTCTGTATCCTACATAACGCATCCTATTTGTGCTACAAGAATGAAGCTAGTAACACAGCGTAGTCTTCTGTCCTACATAACGGCTCTTTTTCTGCCACAGACTGGGTGCTGCAGGGTCAGAGCTGCTACAGGTTCTTCAACATCAAACACTCGTGGATGAACGCAGCCGAGCTCTGCAAGCGGTGAGTGGTCGTTTCTAATGTGCTTTTATCATTTGTTTGCTTAAATCGAAAAGCAACCAAGAACTTAAAAGCATGAAATAATAGCGCCAAGCATCTTCGGTGAAATGTAATGAATTTGCTTAGCGTCGTTAACAAATATGATGAATTGGCTTGGGGGTTTTCTTTGCTTTTAAATTTTTTGGTGATCGTCTTAGTAACACAAATCAAAATTGAATGCCAATTTAGAACACTCGTCTTTTCGAGATATCTCTCCACTAGTGAAGGTGAGCTCAAGAAAGTCTGGATATTATTTCAGATAAGTTACTTAAGTGTTTGATTTTTTCAAAAGAACAACAGATCCTACCAATAGTCAGCAAATCACACCACTTATCCTATATTCGGATATCCATATTCACGCCGAATAATTTATTTGATGCTGTTTACGACAAGAAGAATAATTCTATTTGAAAATGACTTGTATGGCCCATTTGGACGAAATCCAAGTCCGTCCGAGTAACTAGCCTTTATAGGGACTAATTCTAGCACGTAAAACTAGCTCCTCTTCAAAACTCTGGAGAGCTAGTAAATCTTACCGGCATGAGGCTCAGCCCTGACCATGAGACTTAGAATAGAATAGAAGTGTCGGCATTGAAGAAAAGGCCCATGGCCTGTTACCGATTCATGAATTTTTCGTGACTTGATTCACAAGGGATCTGAAGGGATCCCCACTTGACTTTTTAAATATGCCTATCTCCATTATACGGTTTATTGCCAGCCGTGCTGGAGAATTAATGGAGCTGGAGCGGAGCCTGAAATCTAGCATTATTCGTTAAGATTTCAGGCTCCATACTTCAGTCTCAGCTCGGTCACATGCCTCGCACTCGTCATTGCTTTCTTTGACGGCCGGAACGTACGGAGCTGTGCGATGAGTCATCGTCTAGTGCGTTACATCCGCCTCACCTAGCGCTAGCGGCATCTAGACGCACCTACCGGCATCTAGTCGCACCTACCGGCATCTAGACGCACCTAGCCGCATCTAGTCGCACCTAGTTGCATACCTAGCCTCACCTAGCAGCATCTAGTCGCACCTAGCGGCATCTAGTCGCACCTACCGGCATCTAGACGCACCTAGCGGCATTTAGACGCACCTAGTCGCATACCTAGCCTCACCTAGCAGCATCTAGATGCACCTAGTTGCATATCTAGACGCACCTACCGGCATCTAGACGCACCTAGCGGCATCTAGACGCACCTAGTCGCATATCTAGACGCACCTAGTCGCATATCTAGACGCATCTAGTCGCATATCTAGACGCACCTAGTCGCATATCAAGCCTCACCTAGCGGCATCTAGACGCACCTAGTCGCATATCTAGCCTCACTAGTGGCATCTAGATGCACCTAGTCGCATATCTAGCCTCACTAGCGGCATCTAGACGCACCTAGTTTCAAATCTAGCCTCACCTAGCGGCATCTAGACGCACCTAGTCGCATATTTTGCCTCACTAGCGGCATCCATTCGCACCTAGTCGCATATTTTGCCTCACTAGCGGCATTCATTCGCACCTAGTCGCATATCTGGCCTCACCTAGCGGAATCTAGACGCACCTAGTTTCAAATCTAGCCTCACCTAGCGGCATCTAGACGCACCTAGTCGCATATTTTGCCTCACTAGCGGCATCCAGTCGCACCTAGTCGCATATCTAGCCTCACCTAGACGCCACTAATAGCTCGTCCACAGCGTCATCCAATGTAGTGAATAATCGAGCCATGATAGACTATAGACAGCAGCACAAACGATTTCTCAGTAGAATGTGTATCACCAATTAATACATTAGCAGGTTTTTCAACGAGCGGATTCATATATCATCATATATGATTCATATATCATCATATATGATTCATATATCAGCATTTGTGATTAATATATCATCATATATGATTCATATATCAAAGGATTCATAACTCCCTTCGGATCGAATTTTGAATCCACGATTTCAAAATTCAAGTATCGTAGATCGACCTTCGTTTTGACAACACCGCCATTCAAGCTCACAACNTCCGAGTGCAGCGTGGTGCAGAGCACGTCAGAGTGTAGCGTGGTGCAGAGCACGTCAGAGTGCAGCGTGGTGCAGAGCACGACAGAGTGCAGCGTGGTGCAGAGCACGTCAGAGTGTAGCGTGGTGCAGAGCACGTCAGAGTGCAGCGTGGTGCAGAGCACGACAGAGTGCAGCGTGGTGCAGAGCACGTCAGAGTGTAGCGTGGTGCAGAGCACGTCAGAGTGCATCATAATTCATCTCTAATTTAGCCGCTGGTATCAGCGCGTCGCGTCCCGCAGGCCTCTTGCTACGCTGCCTCATTAGCGCCGTAATGCGGACGCTGGCGGCTTGTACACCCGAGCCTGCGACCGCATAGTGATGGCCCTGTCTCTTATACACATCTAGATGTGTATAAGAGACAGACATACCGCCACCCACACTCCCCACGCCACATTCCACCGAGGTGGGTTGCCTTGGTGTCGCCCCCCCCCTCCCCCAGCCGCCGGGGGGCGGCGCCCCCCTGTCGCGCTGCCCTTCACGAGCCTCGTTGTCCACTGAAAGCTGCGAATTTCTAGAATAATAAGTGCTTTTATTGTTTTATTATTTTATTTATTGTTATTTTATTGCGACTTATGGCCGGGCTTTGGTCGGCCGACGCTAATTCAGCTCCAATTTTTAATTGCGAACCAGCATGGCATTCAGGTTATTCGTAATTCCGCTGAAATTTTATATGTTTGGTATTTTTTTTAAAGTTCAGTAATATTGTGCTCCGTCATCGTTAAGTCAACTTTGATTATAACAGCGTCGGTTTTAATGTTTCGTTCAAGATATAACAATGCTAAACATTAATTTAATTGAACTCAAATTCATATGATCACTTGGCATAAATATTTTATCTTCTCGCAATTTTCTTTCTAATTTAAATTCTATAGTTAAAAAGTCCCCTCTTTATTCTCCGACCTTCTCAAGATCTCTTAAGTGCCCAGTACATTTTAACATTAATTATGGTACAACAAATTTGCTTTACATTCCTCGTAGGCGATGTCTCTGTCGCTCTAATTTGTGCCGTCAAGATCGCTTTTTTTTTGTTGTCGATGTTGGTCCCGTTAAACAAGTTCTTTTATCATGAGCTTTGTTAAAAATGCTTGTTCTTCCCGGTAGAAAAAATTGGTTTAAATCCTTGTTCTAGCGGAACAGATTTGTTATTGTTCTTAACTGTGTTCTGAATGGGCTTTTATTGAAGGCCATCGGTTTTGAACTTTTCAGAGTGTCCAACATGATCGTCTGATAGCCACGTCTAAGATTTATATATTTAAAATTTAAGCTATAATGTTGCTTTAATACATGAATATATCATTATAGGCTGCTTACATCGCAAGTTCTTCAAGAATTTACAAGTAGGCAAAATTCTAATTAATTGCACCTTATCTTCAATAAAAACATTTCGGAAACCAGTTAAAAAAATCCATCAGGTGTGAAAATTCAAAATAAACGAAAATGTCAAAACCAAAGGGACAAATAAAGAATAAAGGAACATTAAAAGCTTTTGATTTAAATTTTTAAGGGGATAGTAACTGTACTCGGGGTTTCCCCTTATAAATACATACCGTAATATAGTACACGAAGAGTTAGTGAACGAGTAGTTAAATTCATTAGTATTAGTTTGATAATTCAGTAATAGTTTAATTGATTAGGAATAGTTTGATTATTCTACAATAGTTTTATTGATAAACAATAGTTTAATGATTCAATAATATTTTAATTAATTAAGAATAGTTTAATTATTCAATAATAGTTTAATTAATTAGGTATAGTTTTATTATTCAACAATAGTTCTATTGATAAAGAATAGTTTAATTATTCAATAATAGTTTAATTAATTAATAAAGTTTAATTTTACAATAATAGTTTAATTAGTTAATACTAGGTTGTTTAATTAATGGTATAACTAATAACGACGCTCGGTGCGTCATCAGCGCAATGGTGTCGCAGGGAGCAGCGCAGGCGTGGCTGAAGGTCTTGCCAGAGCTGTCATCAGGACCTGCCTTCTACGTGTCACGAAGCACGGTTCACATTGACACCATCAATCACATACATGAAGCTTATCAATGTTTGTACGAACAACAACTATAATACGATATTTGATGAGCTTACTATATCTGAATGACTTATAATCTTGAAATTATTTATAACCGTTCAATGAATTACTCTATTCGAATGACTTGCAATCTCGGCAATAACTACCCTCGGTAGTTATAATTACGTGTAATAATTATTATCAGCAATGAGTAATAGTAATTACTTGCAATAATTACGATCAGCAATAAGTGATAATAATTTCTTGAAATAAATACCATCAGTATATTTCATGCCGCAGCCCCGGCTAAGTCCGGGAGTGGTGATCCCTCTTTGTCTGCCCTCGGATACATGTCAGGGTCGCCTCACTAGTCCCTTCCCTCACTTCCCTCATCTCTGCTCTTCTCTACGTCGAAATGATGTGTGTTTTTTACCAAATTAACCCATCGATAGGAATATGGGTTTAGTTGGACGAAACTTTGAGTTTCCCAACCCCACCATAATGGTATCTCGCCCTAAGTTCACAATATACCGGTAACATTATAGCGTATCTCGCCCCAAGTCCACAATTACCGGTATCATTATAGCGTACCTCACCCCAAGTCCACCATATACCGGTATCATTATAGCGCATCTCGCCCCAAGTCCACAATATACCGGTATCATTATAGCGCATCTCGCCCTAAGTCCACAATATACCGGTATCATTATAGCGTACCTCGCCCCAAGTCCATAATATACCGGTATCATTATAGCGCATCTCGCCTCAAGTCTACAATATACCGATATCATTCCAGCGTATCTCGCCCCAAGTCCACAATATACCGGTATCATTATAGCGTCTCTCGCCCCAAGTCCACAATATACCGGTATCATTATAGCGTACCTCGCCCAAAGTCCACAATA